GCGATATTTTTGTAATATACATTTTGTAAGCCTCTGTAGCTACGCATAAATTTTTGTTTTAATATTTAAAATTTCGGTTTAGAATAATTCCGCTTTAGAATAATTAGGCGGAAAGTCGGATTTTTGCAAATACCTTTATTTTGTGATTTCAAACAACATAACTATGTGCCAAATGTTATATATTTTTAGCTTAGAAACTTGCGTAAAATATATTAAGTCACGTTTTTCGTAAGGCTAACAATTGTCGACCTTCCCTGCAAAATCCAGCTTTGCCTAAATTATTCCGAAAAATTAGCAATTTATTTGTCTTTATTCCCTGGACTGGTAGCATTTTTTTGTTTTATATTCTAAATTCGATTTCTCTATTACTTTATTTTGTATTCTAGAAAAACTCAACATCCTCATGCGCACAAAAACTCGTCTCTATGAGAAAGGCGGTTTCACCTTCTACAATGTTACAAAGATACGCATGGATCTAGCGCCGGGTGGTCTGAAAACGAATTTCGAAAATATTTTCAATGGCAACAGCAAAGAAGTGGAGCGTAGCACTAATTTGTTTTTCAATGAAAATTGGCGTGATTTCTTCGAAGCTCTACGACCGCTAGTAACAGAAACTGTGGAGACTACGCTATTGGATATATTACAAAAGGTGTTCCATTTGATACCGGCAAATTTCTTTGTTGAAGATATACCAACATCGGAACAATTGTACGCGAAAAAGAAAGAGAAGAAAGAATGAGTTGATATGTTTTAGTAAAAAATATAAATTAGAGAAAAAAATTGTTTTTATATCCTAGAGTTGTTATTAAAGTGGCGTTATATTTTTGAGCGCTTCTGATATGAAATAAGTACTCTAGCACATATTTACCTTTTGGCGATCAAAAAAAAAATATTGGAGTCTTTTAGACCGTTGCCGCCAAATCTTAACTGACGTTAAGAGCTCTCTAAATATTTCAGCACGGAGTGATATGCAAGATTCATGCAGTTATTCAGTTATTTTGGGAGCTTGTTTAACCATTTTGGACCTTCAGGTTCTAGTGCGCTGCCACCTTTTCTTTGCAAGTGGTCGTCTTTACTTCTAAAAAGATCGATGAACTTTTTCGCCTGTTGAATTCGAAGCGGCTTGCTGCAGGCAAGGAGGGAATTGTTGAAATGTTCTACTGCAGTTGTAAGGTTTTCTTCAGATTTGGCATAGAAATTGCTATTGAGTACAAATAAACCAGGAGAATGATCAGAAGACAAGTCGAAACAAGATCTATATGTTTCTTCCGAAGGTACAATACCTTCGGCCACGCAGAAATCAATCAAAATACCCTATTGTTTATATTTGTTGACTAGTATGTATGTAGGTTTTCCGTACGAGCTCCGAGATAACTTGAGTTTTCTGATAGCAGCGTAGAGTTGCCATTCTTTAGAAGTAATAAAGCGAGAGCCCCAGAACGCTTTTACTTCGAGTAAATGTTTTGATAGCTCTTTGGCGTTCCAAATACAAATTTTTAAAGAATCGAGTATGTGCAGTGATAAGTCGTAAAGATGATGAAGATATTCATCATAATTGTCATTTGTTGAATGACTTACTTTAATAGTTCTAATAGTTCATTTCCTTCATTCCATTTGTACTTTGGGTTGGAGTTAGTGTTTCAGAACTATCTGGAATATCACTCATATGGGGCATTTATGCACTGTTAGGACGTTTATGAGCTTGCGAATATGACAGCGGCAGTAGCAGATGGGATATCCGTCCTTCTCAATCGTAGGTATTTGAGTTTTTGAAACTTTTATTAGAAAAAGCAGACTATAATTTGCTGGGTGATTTCCATCACATCGTTAAAGCACAGTTCACATCGCCTGACTTGGTATTTCGCCTTAGCGAGGCTGTATTACTAAATAAATAACTAAATTTTATTTCGTTGAGGTAATTTGTATCCGAAATGTACATACATATAAAAAATTTTGTATAAAAACAATATAATCCTTCAGACACCTTCCACCATTTTACCATGCAGTTCCATAAGACCACTTAAAAATTACGCAAAATTTAGCAATTTAATTTTCGCTTGTCTCAGCTTCATCTCCAATCATTTTTTCGTGTACATCTCTGAGGATGCCCTTAAAATATTTCACTGTCTTCAACGCAACTCCAAAGTGGCATCTTCATCGCAAAGCATCAGCGTATTGGGATGCTGCTGGAATGCGCTTACAGTCCACATATGATTTACACCCTCCTCAATAGCTTTGTACAAGGCAAACGCTTTGTGTGCGCCTGTGATCAAAATCATCACCTCCTTGGCATCCATCACTGTGCCGACGCCGACAGTCAATGCCTGCTTGGGCACTTTGCTCATATCGTTGTCAAAGAAGCGTGCATTCGCCTCTAATGTATCTTGTGCCAATGTTTTCACACGCGTACGTGAGACCAACGAGCTGCCCGGTTCATTGAAGGCGATATGTCCGTCGGGTCCAATGCCGCCAATGAAAAGTTCAACACCACCCGCTTCCTTGATCATCGCCTCGAATTGTTGGCATTCGGCTAGAAGATCCTTGGCATTGCCATCCAAAATATGCACATTCTTGGGATCGATATTGATGTGTTTGAAGAAGTGATGCCACATGAAGTAGTGATAGCTTTCAGGATGATCGCGGGGTATGCCCACCTATTCGTCCATGTTGAATGTCTTCACATACTCGAAAGACACCTTTCCGGCTTTGTGATATTCAATGAGTTTCTTGTACATTCCAAGTGGTGTGCTGCATTGTATGTATTGCTGTATTGTTAGCAAAGAAAGAATCTTCGAGTGTAAGAAGGCTTTATGTATATATCAGCTCAATGACGAAGTAGCGGCTTATGCCGGGTTCTACGTTAAATATTATAAACAAATACAACCGAGTGAGCAAGATTGTGTACAAAATCTTTTATATCTTGAGTATCCACAGACGGATGCATGTTTTTGAGCACCACTTCGAAGCATCTTTATCTCTTCGATCTATATATGGAAGGAACTGCGTTACACGGTCAACAAAAAATTTCCAAAACTCAACGCGATTTTTTAGCAAACTTTATTATACCAAAATGTAATTTAAAAGTTTTTTCTATAGAACTCTAATTAAAAAATTTGCAATTTAGATGAAACTTTGCATAGTTTAATTTTTACACAAAGATGGAAATTTGGATTTATATAGTTTTTTGTTAGAAAATGAAAATATGATAAAAATTAATAAGCCTTAAGCAAACAAAAGAAAAATTGTCAAAACTTGTCAAACTGGGGCGACCCTATTAATTTGTCCGACACTGTAAACAATTATTATATTTTCTCTTGCGTAATATTTACATAAAAAATAAAAATAAGTAAGAAACTATCCAAAAACTGAGGTCTACCACATTTGAAATCTATCACATTATTTTCAAGATTCTACCATCCACAATTTTTTGTAAGTGATGTAAATTTCCGATACCTTCAAGTATCGAATACATTTACATTATTCCGTTCAAAATCCCATATGCAAAACCTAATACTCATAATGACTTTTCTTTAGTAAAAAGGTTTTCAATCGAAAACATTGCGTAGAAACTACTGAACTGCTGTTTAAGCTTATTTTTACCTTCAATACTTACCATAAATAATTTTTAACTATTTCAGCTATTGGGGATATATTTTTAGCATTCTTTCCACTACACGAGCTAATCTCGATGTCTCTGCAACAAGTCTTCTCGATATATTGATTACCCTCAACTATTTCAGACGCTAAAAAACTTGTATGAGCTTACTTAGATTTTTGATCAAAATCACTCTAAAGAGAATTGCCGTTTGATCCTCGTTGCGTTCCGGTAAATCATCATTTTAAAACCTGGTTATACACTGCTCCTCAACCATTCTCCATTCAACCATTGTAAACTTTGCAACCCGTTACTTTGCTTTGTCGACGCTTGTTATGAAAATAATTTTAAACGATGATGATGGAGTATCGAAGTATCGACATAATATTGTCAGCACTCATCGAATACTCAAATTGCTCAACAGCATCAAATACATACTATTCGATACTGGATACTATTCACAGCACTACCGACCACTGGTTTTGGTTCCTTGCTCGTGTTGCCAATATGATGCATGGTGTGATGTTCTTGTGGCGAATAAGGACGCATTGACGAAAAATTACGCGTAAACCTAGTTGACAGCGAAGAAAGACGCGTAATCATAGATGTATACCTAGAAAAGGAATGTACATACTATTACCCCCGCAAACATAGTTGACCGCGAAAATAAGTTAACGCGTCTTTCTTCACCGTCGACCAGGTTTGGGCGCCTTTCTTAGCTGAAGTTTTTTTTTTTTTTGCCTTTTTTCGCGGTCAACTTTTGAGCTCGCGCCTTTATTCGTGTCTTGTAACGATATAGCATTCATAAAACGCTTAATTATGTAACAACGCAAACTTGAACGAAAAGTGCACGGTGTTGAGACCCCTTAATGATTGATAGGTGGATTAATCGTGCAAACATGCCTCTATGGTTGGTGGCTAAGTATTATAACAGAGTTTTGTAAGGACTGGGAGTTGTCTATCTAACGTGGAGGTTACACGAAACATATAGCAGAAGCAGTGGTATGTGTTTACACTTTTAACAGCCACCATGACTGGCCAGTATCATGTGCAAGAAGTGACGAAGGCAGCCTCTTTATACTAGATGATCCTTTGCTTCAAATCTTGCCTCGTGCTACGATTCGTTGTAGAATTAAAGGGAGTAAACTTTTCATAATTAAGTACTGCGGAAACGATTAATCGCAGCTTAGTAATTTCCACTTCTATTATGTAGAGAATTACTTTCCCTATACCCATTGCAGGCAACTTAGACGCATTGAAATCAAAATAACTTGCACACAGCACAATTTAACTGTCATAGTAATTTTTCAATCACAGATAAAGACATGATAATTCCAGCTTTTTAATATATATATTTTTAAATAAAAAATTCATACTTAAATGTTTAGTTATTTGCTTGTGAACACAAATGTGAATACTTATGAGCATTTCAGTCGTATATGTATGTTTATTTAGAATTATAAAACTTTACATGCAACTACTTACATACATACATACATATATACAAAGTGAGTAAATGCACATTCTAAGCATACTAAAATTACGTCAGGGCAATTAAGTACACAAATAATAAATTAAACATTTAATTAACTAAGGATCGATTACAAAAACAAATGGACGCTTAATGTGGAACGAGTACGCTATCCAAATAATTTGCTTATGACAAATCAATTATACCAATCCCATTTCTTATAGTCCAATTCCTGCTTCAAAGCTTGTACATGCGTATGCCTCGTATTGCCATTACGCATAAAAACGCGACGATTACCCACCGGCTGCAATTGCCGATAATTATCCACCAACGCACCATCTTGTGTATCTTGCAGCTGGCGGAAGCGTGCAATCTGCGGATAGACGAATGACAATTACAAAATTAAATAAAAGCTACATAAAAATTTGGCGCCATTTAATTTCAGGTGATTTATTTAAAGTAGGTTTTTATGTGCATACCTGTTTGGGTGAGATGGGTATGGGATCGGGATAGAGCACCCATGTGATGGCCTCCGAGCAGGGGGGCGTTGTGAGTGAACCTAAAAGAAGCAAGTAGACGTAAGCTTTTATGTGTATGTTAAGTAAGAATGTATAATAAATTTAGCTTATTAGCTAAAAGTAAATCAAGCTATTTAGTATGCATGAAGCAACAATCTCGCTGGCCAGGCAGTAATCCAAGCAATTTGCCAGTAAGCACAGAAGGAAAGGTAATAAAATCTGAAAATTATTCCATAATCATCTCGACATTTTTTTTGGGTTTGATTGCCACAATTTTGTTGGTCAATTAGTATTCAGCCCGAGCTATATTTGGCACTTGTACACCTGTTGGTTTTCAATATATGTATTTACATATGTATGTATGTACATAAATATGGATAGTTGCTCGCTTATTCGTACAAATAGTACATTCTTTCATTCTCCTATTGCCTGTTCAGATATTATCGTTACGATGTTGTTCGCATATTGATCTCCATTAAATTTCTACGATTTTACTAATTCCACGCTAATAATGACAATAATTGGAATTGTACAAAAAAGTACATGCACACATAAGTACATACATACATACGTACGTAGGTGCCAGGCGCGTGGTTTGGCAGCAATCGATATTGGCGCACAAATCAAAATTATTAACACTATGTAACAGCGGAAATAAACTTAGGTGCCCAGTGGGAAAAGTAGTAATGCATTACAAGCGTGATAAGTAATCGAATGTATGTATATCTTATGAGTTTTATATCCAATTACTGTTTAGTATGTAATCACTATTCTAATGTATTCAAAAAGAAAAAAAAAATTTCATATTAAATCACATTCATTTCTCGATACTAAGTAATGCAAAATTGAATGCCCCACTTTTCTTAGGGCATAGCGTGGTGAAAAAAATGAATTTTCGAATGTGAAAAGGGTTGTTTTACTGATTATTTTTTCGATTACTATACATTACATTTTCCCACTGGGTGTGATCTAAAGGGTCATATTTAGGTCTGTTCGAATAATTCACGAAATTATCTAGAAATTTTTCCAGTTCTCTGAATTTCTCAACTTCTCTATGCATTCAAGAATAGAATTCTAATGCAGTTCTCTAACATCAACTCGACTCGAAAATGATTAGATTAGGACAGAAAGGAGCCAGTAGACAGAAAAATACTAGTCCAATTATGAACCAAAACCACTACATTCGGAGTCAAAAAATAAAATAAATTCATGAATATACCTACAGTAAAAAAAAACTTTTGATTAAGTACACTGTAATAACACATTTTTATTTAGCAGCCTTAGATTTGCCAATAATTAGTGTTAAATTTTTTGAGCATTAATTCATAGCAAAAATAAATACATAAATATTTCAAACTTTCGAACAGTAATTTAAATGCATTTTTTCATTAAATGTTATCAAAAGTAAAAGGTTTCAGGTGCAATAAATAGTTCGTTTTTGAGTGAACTAAAATAAAAATAAAAGTTTTCATTAAAAGAAATTAAATTCATTAACTTTGCACATTTCAGTCGATTCTTTTTAAGAATTTATAAAAGTAGTGATTAATGTTTAAAATTTGAGATTTGGATAAGAATAAAATAGATAAATAATTCAAGCAGTTATTAAATATTCTTAATTTTTGTCTATAGTTTGGCTTGTTGATTGATAATAGAAATTAATCAAATAATTATATTAATCGTGTAATTAAAAAAAGTCAAAAATAATTGAAAATTATCAAAAACAAANCAAAAAAATAGTGATTAAAATTAATAAGTTAATTAAATTTTTTTTAAGTAATTAATTATTAATCATTTTGTGTACGTTATTGTATTAAACTGTCGAAGTCAAACAAAACAGGGCATACGTAAATCGTTTTGCACTTGGTCTGGTCATTTTCGAACTAGTTCGGTTTCTGTCCGGAAATTCAAGTTGTAAACTAGTATTTTTCCTAACTGGTTTGGCGTTTCACTGCAGGGATCATGTAATTCATGCATATGCATTTGTATTCGATTCTTTGGGCACTGCTTACACTGACTTTTGTTGTAAGTGCATACAAATTTGTTCTTTTGTGGATATAAATATGTATTGATATGTATTTTATGTACTTATGTATGTGTGTAAGTGTGCAAGTTGATTGTAAAAATTCTTTACTGATAAAATATTTTAATCCGATTAAGTCGCTCTGCTTGAAAGCGCATACCCAGCAGTAAATGGAATGCATTCCGCATCGATGCCCCACTGATGACAAGTAATGGCATTTGCTTCCGCTCTTAATTCTTTTTTTGATTGAAGTATGCTTTATATTTAACATTGCCTGACATTGGCGGTAAGACGCGAGGGCTTCTGTTGCATTACTTTTCATCAACGCAGAAATGTCGCTCATT